GCAGGGATTTTGGGGGTTTGGGGGGAATTTAGAGATTTTAGGGGGGAATTTTGGGGATGTCGGGGAGAATTTTGCGATTTTAGAAGAGATTTGGGGAAAATTTGTGCATTTTGAGGGGGAATTTTGCATTTTTTGTGAAAGATTTCGTTGATTTGAGAGAGATCTCGAAATTCCGGCCCCAGTTCCCACATTTTCCTGCAGATTTCCTCCCAAATTCCCACTTTTTTCCCTCATTCCAACCCCAAAATTCCACTTATTTGTTGGTCATTCCCACACCAAAAAGGCCCCCTGGAATTCCTGAGAATCCTAGCAGAAAAAATTCCAAAAGAATCCCCCCAAAAACTCTCAAAAATCCCAGAGTGAGACGAGCAGAAAGGAGAGACCCCAAAACAGATTTCTGGGATAAATCGTGATTTTTTTTATTTATTTACTTTTCGGGAAGACTTTTGGGGCGGAATTTTTGGGATTAACGGAAAAGGAGGAGTGGGGGAAAAAAGGTGGGATTTGGGAAAACGGGAGGGATTTTATGGAAGAAAAAGGCAGGATTTGGGGAAAAAAAAGGCGGATTTGGGAAACAAAAGAGGTGGATCCGAAATCCTGCTGGATCTGAGATTCCGCCGGAAAAGAAACAAAATTTAAAAAATTAAAATAAATTCGACTGATAAAAAAAATTGAAATAAATTAAAGGAAATGAATTGGAAATGAATCAAAGGAATTCAAAATGGCGGTGACGCCCCCGCCGCCATCTTGCGGCGCGGCGGTGCCGTAACAGAAGATGGCGTCACCCAGCGAGCCACCCCCGCTGCCGTTCCTCGCCGCATTTCAAACCGAACCGGGGCCAAACCGAACGCGACGGTTCAGCAGCACCGATTTCACTCCCGGGACTGATTTGAGCTCCCCAAACCGGGCGAGAGGCAGGGAAACGGAGGGCAGAGGGAGCCGCCATGTTGTACGGCAGGAGGAAGATGGCGGCTCTTCCTTTTCCGGTATGGGAGTGGCGCGGGAACCGGGGGTGAACCCAAGTTTTAAATGAGCGCGGGGGGCTTTGGCGATGCCTGGGGGTTTCAGTTAGTTCTGGGGGCTCACGAAGCCTTCCCCCTTCCGATTTTGAGTCGTTCCGTCCAACCGTTCCTTGGCCTCGCCGCCATCTTGAGGGGCGGTGTAGCCGGTCAACAAGATGGCGGCACGCTGCCACCACCCCCGGTGCTCTTTTAAAGGATTTTTTACCTCAAATCGGGGCCAAATCGGGCGAGACGGATCCGCCATCACCGTTTAACTCCCGACACCGATTTAAACCCAAGGGGAAGCGGGAGAACGGCAGAAATTCCGGGTTTTAAAAAGCAGGGGCGCCGCCATGTTGTACGGCAGGTGGAGGCGCGGGGAACTTCCGGTTCCGGTGGGGGAGCGGCCCCGCGGCGGCGGCGGAGCGGGGGGTAAACACAGGCCGGGGGGGGGGGGGGGGGGGGATTTGGGGGAAATTTGAGGATTTTTGGCCAATTCTGAGGGAAATTTGGGAATTTCGGCAGTCGGGGATCGGGGAGATTAAAGGGGTGGGGGGGGTCGTGGCCGTGCGGGAGCTTGGGGGGGAATTTTGAGGGACTTGCTGGGAATTCGGTGGGAATTTCGGGGATTTCTGGGGGAATTTACGGGAATTTTGGGGTCACTGGTGGGATTTCGGGATGAATTTGGGGGAATTTTGTGGAAATTTTGGGGTCATGGGTGAGATTTTGAGGGAATTCGGGAATATTTGGGTGGGAATTCAGGAATTTTGGGGGAATTTTTAGGGATTTGGGGGAATTTTGGTGGTTATTTGGGAATTTGACTGATTTGTGGTGGAATTTTTTGGGAATTTGAGTGAATTTTGGTTTATTTTTTTTTAATTTGGGCAAATTTATGCAAATCTTCTGGGAATTCCAGAACATTCCCAAATTTGGAGTCTCCAAACTCACCCCAAACCCCAAAATTTCACCAAAAAAATCCCCAAATTTTAACATTTTCCTTTTTTTTTTTTTTTTGCAGCTCCCCCTGTCCCAGTCTCCCAAAACTCGTTAAAAATTCCCAAAAAAATTCCCAAAACAATGGATTGAGCCCCTCCCCCCCCTTGGATGGCCCCCTGGAATTTTGGGGGATCCCAAAATGGGGGATTCGGAAAATCCCGGGAATCCCCCCGAGGAGGAGGAGGAGGAGGAGGAGGAGGAGGAGGAGGAGGAAGAGCTGGACCCCCGGATCCAGGTGGGAATCTGGGGCAAAATCCCACATTTTTGGGGGGGTTGGAATTTCGGGGCTTTGGTAGAAAAATCACAGAAAATTTGGGATTTTGGGGGGTTTGGGATCCAAATTCAGGGATTCTGGGGGAAATCCGAGGATTTTGGGGTCCAAATTTGGTGATTTTTGGGCAATTCTGGGGCTTTTTGAGGGAGATTTTAGGATTTGGGGGGACTTTTGAGGGAAAATCCCGGAATTGGGGGACTTGGGGGAAATTTTGGGGAATTTTAGGGGGAGTCTTGAGAATTTTGGGGGAAATCCCCAAAAATTTGGCATTCTGGGGCAGATTTTTGAAGATTTTTTTGCCATTTTTCCCAGATTTTTGGGGTTTTATCCCAAATTTTGGGTTTTTTTTCCCGTCTTTTGGGATCTCCCAAATTTTGGAAGTTTTTGGGGTCTTTTTTTTCCCAATTTTTGGGGTTTTTATCCCAAATTTTTGGGTGCAGGAGGAGCTGGAACACCTGAACGAGGCCAACGCTGAAATCAACCGCGGGGAGCTGGAGCTGGATGTGAGCAACTGGGAGAACTGGGAGGGACTGGGATGGACTGGGAGAGAACTGGGAGGGACTGGGA